GTGATATTTTTACTGTAGATGAAACAGCTTTGTATTACAAAGAACATTAAGTCTGAGAGGAAAGACAGTTTCTGGGTCCAAGAAATCCAGAGAGGGTTGTGTTACTTTGTGGCAGCATGACTGGAGAAAATTTATCACCGTTGGTGATTGGAAAGTTTCAAATTTCACGATGCCTCCGAGGTATAGATAGGAAAAGCCTTCCATGCATTTATAATTCTTCAAAGAATGCATAGATAACTTCTACATTATTTCACGGTTGGCTGTCTGATGTCAACTGCAAAATGGTTTCTCAAAGGCGCTCTATTTTACTATTTATAGACAACGCCCCTTTGGATAACCAAGTCGCAGTATTCTCCAACGTCAAATTGGTACGGCTACCTCCGAACTGTTCTTTAATGTTGCAACCAATGGATCTGATTTGTTCTCTTGAATGTTATTTTCGGAAACATTTACTGGAATACGGTTTGTCTTCGATCAAAGATGAGTAACTTATCTTGAAAGCTGAGGTGAACATTCTCGTGGCCATGCATCTGTTCAAGAAAGCTTGGGTGTCTGTGCACCCAGATGTACTCATCAACGCTTTCATGCAAGCTGGTGATGCAGCCACCAGAGGAAAATGCTATTTGATCGAGGTCTCGTGTTTATTGATGATCGTCTTTTTGAAGAAGAAATCACCTGTTTGGAATTTGATGAAGAAGTGGGTTATTTGAGATTTTTTGTATAAAGTCTCTTTTTTAGTCATTAGATGAATTCGTTTCGAATCAAGCTAAGCGTCGCAATGAAGATGGATGTGAAGCAGTGAATGCGCCGGAAGTTATCTCAATCCGAGAGGAGCAGAAGTTATTGGATCAGTTGAAGATGTTTGCCTTGGCTGATGCTCGGAGTTCGGGTCGATTATTGGAGTGTACCATTGATTCAAACAGCGCGTTTGTTGATTTCCAAAGGAGAGCCAAGTTGAGACACGACGGTTTATGATTTTGCTAAAAATACATTTTTGTAATCTGCGAAGTTTTTTGCAATTCTGTGGGGCACTGAACTAAACTGCGGGGCAATCGAATATGGTGGTCACAAAGGACATGGTCATTCGATCTATCGATGGGCTCCGTCGCAATAACGTGCAAACGCTAATCGCGACTGACTGGTAAGCGGGTGAGTGGAGTGATGTCAGGTTCGAGCGATCGATAACCACCGTCGCGCGGACGCGCTTGTGTGAGTGAATAAACGACACTCACTTGTCCTAGAGCACCAATGAAATTAGACAGGTCACTTGCAACAGGTCCTTGCAACCCGGGTCTAAGGACAGTATGTGAGATGCACTTTTAGTTTATGAATCGTTCACTGCTTGAGAGTTGCCGTAATTTCTGTAGGCTGGCATCTATGGCCTTCGGTTGACTGATCAGGAATGAATTTCTTCCGTCTTACGCCTGCCGGAAAATTTTCTCGAGAACCCGCTTAAAAATGTAGCATGTATCTTAGACGAGTTTAACATCAGCCCAGTGTCATCATCGCTTGAACTTTTTCATCCCTAATCTCCCACAGTACGATTGCTCCATCGCTTACCGTCGTCTCGTCCCTCTCACCCGTGACCTTAAACAAGTAAATTCCCTTTGACCCTTTCTGTAATCTGATTGGATTATATTCCGCGATCTGCGGCGCTTAAATCCCCTCAACCCAACACGAAACTGTCTAATTACCGGCTTGTACGTTTTGTAATGCTATTGTTGTCACGCCCAGTCCATCCGTGTGCTGATGGCACTCCTGCTGCACAATCCAAGTTCACTGGGCCTACCTAAAATTCGCGGCTGTAAACAAGGTGTGGTTTCTCGCTCGGGTTAGCTGGGCAGGCACCAGGTCCCTTGTTGCGGCTGAACCATTCCACCGATTGGTCATGTGAATTTTGGGCCGGCGCAGGAGGTTCCGAATCCGATGCTGCTTAAGTGCTGGTAGAGAATCACCACAAGAGAATCACTTGTGGAGTGGTGCACCATGTGGGAAATTCGGAATGGAAAATGCTTAAGTGATGTTGACACTGGGCCAACGCTTGACTCGTTTATGACAGACGCACTATTTTTCGAAGCGGGTTCGGTAAACAGATATTCATAATAAAATTTTGAGCTTGTCCTAATAACGGACAACAATATCCCCTAATGTAGGCCCACGCAAAACTTTTCTTGTTTTTCCCAACTGGTTGTTCTCGCGTTGAACGATCTCACTAACCGATCACCGGGGTAAGATCGAAGCAGGTCAAGCATCGCTTACTGTCCACAGTCGAAGCGATCGTGATTGCGTTGAACGACGGCAATTCCGAATTTCCCACATGGTGCACCGCTCCACAACTGATTCTCTACCAGCACTTAAGCAGCATCGGATTCGGAACCTCCTGCGCCGG